AAACAATAATCTTGCTTTTAATCAGCTTTCTCTTCTGTTAGTTTTGCGAGGACCCGCGCTTTTCCTTCTGCTTTTTCTTGTAGAATAGAACGAAATCATTACTGGTTCTCTTCAGGTTAAATGATCATAAATAGGTAGTATGGTATTACATTTTAGTGCTCTAAGGACTCTTGTTCTTAATTACATTGATCTTTCGGTTTGCCTATGATTTTTTCGATATCATTGTGGCTTGACAAGTTTTTCATTTATGATGTTTGAACAGGGAGAGTGTAGTAGCAGAGAAGGTGAAGGAAGCTCACCGGAGAGTGATGGTGGCTAATCATCCAGACGCAGGAGGAAGCCATTACCTTGCGTCTAAGATCAACGAAGCCAAGGACATGATGCTCGGCAAAACCCAGAGCTCTAGTTCTGCATTTTGAAACCCTTTGGTGAGGTTGATTGATCTCATCAACATAGCCATATGTTGTTTCGAGTTATTGGTCTAGATCATTCTCTTTAAGCAATAGCTATTAGTTTGATTGATCGATCCAATCAACATAGCCATGTAGGTGAGATTTTGTTCGAATTGCGACCAGTTGGAAGTGAGTCTAGTTCGGTTTTGTTTTTGTCTTAGATTTCTGTTTTTGGACGCAATGTATTTTCAGTTTGATGAACCTTTAAGCAAAATTGAAGGGTGTTTATACAAGCGGTTTCTATGAAGATCCGAGTCACGAGAGGAGAGAAGATGAACAAAGATTCAGACATGGTTCTTGCTGAGAATGTACATTACTAAACTAGTACACCCCAAATTATATGAACAAAATTGAAATTGATAAGTAGCTGTTTCAGTAAAAAGCTATTCCACTTGCACTCTTTGTAGAGAGCTAAATGTGATCTCAAAATGAAGTCTCCTTATAACCTATATAGAATCTGAATTTTTTCAGCCAAAAAAAAAAGCATTCACTTGGTGTTGTTATTTACACAGTTCTCCCTTGTGGAACAACGTGTTTCTATAGGTCTTTCATAATCTGTCTACTTACTCATTGGTAGTGCTAGTATCGGATAACCCCATCTCCGGTTTATGGGTTTCCATTCTTGGTTCCGATAGCATTATCGGTCCCCTCGGTTCTCCAAATATGGCTGAGAAGATCTGCTTGTGGCACTCATCACAGAGAAAGAAGTAAGAGAAGTGGCCTTCATTTGGGAGTCTATGAACCGTTACTTCTGGTATGACCCGGCTAATGTAATCGGTCACTGAAGGTGGTGCGACTCGGTCGTCCATACTCTATGTGACCACAAGCAAAGTGAAAAGAAACTCACAACTCTGAAAAAAAAAATCATAACGATGGAGACTTTAAAAAGTAATTGCCAACAAACCTGCCATATGTGTATGGGTTTTTGAAACCCGATAAGTTGGCATTCTGATTCACTGTACATTGACATTAGCCAAGAGAGGACACCATTGGTTTTGCACTTCTTCTGCATGCGAAACTCGGGAAGACTAAATCCCCAGTTTGATACTTGTAACATGGCTTCTTCGACAAATGGTTTTGCCGTTCCTTGGCGTATGGACTCCTCCACGTTCCTTTGGTGAAGATCTTCAAAAACTTGATCTGTCATTACTAGTTTGTCCTGAAGTAGAAAAGTGACATTTACAGGTATAGCTCACAACTCACAAAAAACCCCAAGGAAGCTACTCTATTTGGTGATACCAAAAGATTCATAAATTTGGGAAGAGATACAAGCTTACCTTTTCTCCTAATGATATTGACATCCACTGATCCAGCGGCTCGAGATTACCAGAGAGAAAGGACCTACGGTAGAAAAAAGGAAGAAGTCTTGGCCAGCGGCGTGCTAAACAGTACATGAATTTCCTCTTTCGTAGCCAGTGCTCCCACGTTTTCGCCATCTCTTCCTTGTTCATGCTTGGCTCATATGGATTGATCATAGGAGCTAACATGGCAACTCCTGTAGATTTTTTTTTAAGAAAACACAATGTAATGARCAATGATCTTGCCATTTCATCTTGTGTCACTCTTTGAAACTATCACAATATGAAACCCATGAATCAATATGCATTCAGTACCAGCTATTTTGTCAGGAAAGTATCTCATTGCAGCCCAGGCATGCATGCTACCAGTGGAATAGCCGAGTAACCAGAACTTCTCAACAATCCCGAGAGCAGTAGCTAGGTCAATCATATCCGAGGCAGATGAGCTAAGGTTCCGAGCGCGATGAGGATCACTTTCTCCAAACCCTGGAAGATCATATGACACTAAACGGACACCATACTCCTCCAGCAATGATTCTTTCACTCCAGGTATACCTTGAATAGAATATATTGAAACATTAGAGGCAAAACAACAGATGTTACCACATCATCAAAAGTAGCTCAAATTGAAAAGAATAAAAACTTGTTTTATCTTACCTGCAAGCCGAGACGAAAGAAAAGAATGAGGCACAATCAGATAATATCTAGCCCTGTCAGCTGAAACACCAAGCTCCTGGTAAGCTAAATATCTACCATCTGGAAGCTGTACACGGCTTGCACCAGGAGGATGCAGACGGATTTTCTTCAACACGGGGACGGTTCTATCATGATCAGAACTAAAACTCAATGCTGCAGTTCAAAGTTGGATATGTCAGAGAAAGAATACAAGCCTCTCTTACACTAAATTAGAATCTATTCAATACTGCCATTTAAACCAACACATAAGCAAAACCGCAAGTCAACTACAGACAACAACCTCATAAATTTCCACAAAATCAACCCAATAACGAAGTTTCTACCACTGTTATATCTTATACCTGTGAGAGCTAGGAGGAAGACGAAGAAAATCACAGGCCAAGCATGTACAGGATCACGATCTTCAGGCAAGAACTCGTTAAGGAAGCTTAGCTTCTTGGAAACCTTAGCAGCTGGTTTTCGAAGCTTACGAACAACGACCGAGTCTTCACTCACCACATTCTGCTGCACAACGTCTTTGCATCCAATTGCGAGATCCATTAGCATTTCTCCCCATGACTTCATAAACCCAGTCACTTGATCTCTCAAACTCTCCGTTGATTCGGATCCAGACCCGGATCCATCCAGAGACCCGAAACCCGAAATCTTTGACCTTGATTCAGACTCTGCCGTCAAATCGATCGGAGATTCGTCGTATTGTAAACCAGAGTCCATGAGACTAGCTAACTCGTCTTGCCACGTAGGCAC